GAAAGGGCAGCTGGTGGTGATGTGGTTATCCTCCTGTGTTCCCTCTGCACACACAGTCACACTCCTCGTGATGCTCCAGGGCCACGTCAGTGAGTGATTTATGCAATCCCCTGACACCAATCTTTGGTCTCAATTGAAGGACCTGAAAGGGAAGAATGTAAACCACCTTTAAAATCAATGCATGACTATAACATTCGATTTCCTGCATAAAAAGGAATTTTCAAAAACAATCTCAGAACTCAAAAAGACTTATTTTCACATTGCCTCTTGAAAGTGTTATGTAAACATTTCTCCATAAAAAATATCATAAACTATCATTTCATAAAAGGACACTTCAATGCCAACAATTTGAGAAGTGTACCGCCTTAGAAATAAAGAAGAGTTCTTAAATTGAAGACTCTGTCTGCTCATTATTTTTCTTATGTAACTAGACAGAATTTCACCTCAAGTATTTTGCAACCGTTAATGCACATCTTGTTTCTCTGTTTGTTACTTTCTTATTCTCATTCATTTATTCACACATTTAATAAATATTTATACTTGAAGCAGTACACTCAAGTACAGGAATACTGTGGAAGGAAACATGATCACTCCACAGCTGAGATTGCTCAATTATGCCACTCATTAATTTTCTTGGCTACACTTCAAGTCCTCTATAAACTTGATGAGACGGATTAGATGTACTTCATAGACATCAGCTTCAGTCACAGCTAACTTTCTGCAGCTGGATTCTACTGTACAGTGCTAAGGAGGTTTGGCAATAACAACAATAACGCCTCTATTCAAGGAAGCTATTTGCAGTTTGGCTTGTTGAGCTTTTTAGTAAGAAATATAGCAGAATAAGCACCCTAAATAAACATATTTCCTTTTAATACTATGACGAAGGGTTCTAGAAGTGTATTCTATTAAATATTATCTAATGTATTGGACAGCAGCTACCTATTCAATTCTAATACATTTCTTATAATAGAAATGACAAAGTTTCAGAAATTATGTTTATTTGGGTTTTGAAAAAGACCAATGTGAATAATAATATTAAATTGTCTAGCTTTCTCCTTCTGGGTATGACACAGATGACTTCATGAAGCAACTTTGAAAAGCTATCATTTCTGTGAATTTTCATTAATCTACAAAAGTACAAGTCAAGTCTTATGACTGTTCAATTTGAAGACTCAAGAAAGAAAACTACAGAATGCATACCTCATTCAAGTATGTGGCTCTATCGAAGGTTAATTAGCTAACATTTTTTGAATACTTGCTGGGTGCCAGGAACAATGATGTTTTTACATACTTTAACTCACAAGAATTCTATGAAGTAATTTACAATTATTATCCTTATTTTACACATGAGTGAACATAGAGACAGGCTAAGTGACATAGTAGTAATCTGAACCTAGACCAAATATGAATTATTAAAGTAAGAATGATAGATACTTATTTTATAAAAGTCCATAATATTACCATTCATACATTCTATTTATTTTGAAACTTTCTTCCTAGAGAGATAAACTTCAAAGTCTTGTCATAAGTCTTATATTCAGATAGTTTTAAAGCATCAGAAACTGTAAACTTTTAAAGTAGGTTTTCTCTTCTGTGACATTTCATAATTCCAGAACAAAAATTGTGAAGACTATATTTCTTCAGCATGAAACTTAATCTACTTGGGTGTTATTTTATATCAGTACTGACTTGTTTGAATAAGTTGGGGTGACATCAAATCTGAACTTAAGGCACCCCTGCCAGTCCTTATCATACTCTTGCTACAAATGGTTTCTGGATTGAGATTGGGTGGGTAAGATAAATCGCAGTATCAGCAAAGCCATTATGTTCATCTTCTAAGTCTACTTGTCTGCATTTCTCACTTCAGAAAAGAAAAAAAATATGGTACAAAGGGTAAAATTAGGGAGGCCATCTACTATGCCAATGGCCAGCCCAGATGCATTAGGCTTCCACTCTCCCATCAACTATGCTAAATAAAAGCTCCTCCTGCTAGCTTTGTCTGATGATGCTTGTGGAAATTCACATATAGTAGATAAAACTCAAAATGTCCTAGTAGTTTGGATAAAATATTCTAATCTGCTTAGTGTTTTCCTTTTCAGTTCTTTTTGAAAATTTGGATTTTGGAAGCAAGAAATAGACTTGGAGAATGATCAGCAGGTGCCACCTAATATGAAAGAGGAAAATTTCATCTTCAGGATGTGGATTATGACACCAGAAGTATGGGGATAGGGAAATGTCAGAAGTCTATCTCAGGGAACTATGAGGGAAGGCTAGGCATGAAGCTCGGCGATAAAGCACTTGCCTAGCATGTGTAAGGCCCTGGGCCCAATCCCTAGCACCAAAGGAAAAGAAAATACAGAAAGAAGAATTGAGGAAAAAGTGAACACTAAAACTACCAGTCCATGAAAAAAAATATCAGGGTTATGTCTCAAACCAGAGACTATGGAAGAAAATAGATCAGATACAGAAAGAACCACCAAGGACTGGGTACTAAGTATAGTCAAACAAGATGGAATGATCACTCTGCAAACCAGAGCATTGATGAAACAGGATTCAGTACTAGAATAAGATCACAGGATGGTAAACTTTTCCTAATACAGACAGATCTAAGGTTAGAGAAGCAAGACTCCTATAGGTTATGGAAAAAAGAAATTAAACATAAGATGTTATAAACAAAATAAGATTAGAGAAAAAAGAACAAATATATTACTATTGTCAGAGTGTTTTGTAAAGTTTTTGGGGAAGGGGGGCGAAGAATACCTTTCCTCCCTCTGAATTCATTAGATTTTTATTCATCATTTACTGTAATTGAAGAAAGGGGAAAATAAAAAAGAAAGAGAAAATAAGCTAAAATGTATGAAAAGTATAAATTGCATCAAATCTTGTTCTAAGTATTCTATAAAAATCTACTCACAGAATTCTCACCATGAGTTACAAGGGTTGGAAAATCATCTTACTGACCAGGAAACTGAGGCATGAGGGACTGAGTTACTGGCTCAAAGAGACACAGCGAACAAATGTTAGCTTCAAATATGGGAAGTCTGTTGTTGGAGTTAGTACTTGCAAGCACTGTACTGTAACATGATCTTTGTTTCTCTTAGCCCTCAATTTGGTAGAAACAAAGAAAAATAAACAATGATTTTAAAACAGTAATAGTTCTCTAATAGAGATATCTTTGAAGTCCCATGCATGCTCTAAGGATGAACTAATTGGTGCTGCTAGGAATGGGCAGGACTCTTAAAAGTGTTTCAAGGAAGATGTGACATGTAAGTTCATATACACAGAAAGTTCCTAACTCACTTTTCTGAAAATTCCTACTGGAGAGACAGAGAAATTATTAAGAAATATATTTCTTTGGTGAAATGTATTATAATGTAGAGATCCAATAGAGAAGAGGTAAGAATCTTACTAAGAACATTATCATGCTATAATACTATTATGCTATCAGCAACACAGTAACATTATATCTTACTGTATGATTTCTTTAATTATCTGAACTTATTTTTGGTATAGTGGTTGAACAAAAACCCAGCAAAATGCTATAGGAAACCACAAGAAATACTTGTTTTACTGTAGTAATACAATGACTATGATTCAACCCTAATATTTGCAGAAGCTGTTATAATACAAATAGATGCAGGAGAGGACAAATAGAACCTATAACCTGTCTTTGCTTTTTCATTTTTCCATGAAGTAGAATAATCATAAAGCCCAATTGGCAATATCATTAAAAATATTAAAGATTGGGTGGGTATAGTGGTGCAAGACCATAATCCCAGAAGCTTGAGAGACTGAGGCAGAAGGATCTCAAGTTCAAACCCACCTTCAGCAACTTAGTAATGCCCTAAGTAACTTATGGACACCCTGTCTCAAGAAAAAGATTAAAAGGGCTGGAGATGTGGCTCAGTGGTTAAGCGCACTTTGGTTTAATTTCTGGTGCCTAAATAATAATAATAATAATAATAAATAAAGCTGAAGGTAGACTTGTATTTAAATGAGTTAAGTCTCCATGTCCAGGTCCATAATATTCAATTATCTAATATCTTTGAACAATTTTAAATTGTTTTAAAAATGCATTTAATTAATAGTAGTGCTAGATCAGAAGTGATCTCAAGAATATGGGAATGAGAAAAACAAAGGCCTCAGAAATTCTGAATCATGTTAAACAAATAGTTCTTTCTCCAGAGGGTAAATGGACAAAAATATTATTGTTATTAGAGATATTTGTGAGACATTGTTGTTATTAGAAATATTTGTGATAAACATCAAGTAGGAAATTTTTATATTTCTTCATACTTAATCATTAGAGATGTTTGTGCAAAACTAATGGGTGCTCATGTAATTATAATATAATTAGAAAAATGTTCATAGTTGCACGTGTGTATAGGTGAGTATCTATAATCAACCCAATGAAGACCAGGAAATGTGGATTAATGTCATTCTGGAAGAACACCACTTGGTCCACAAGCACTGCCCATAGCCTTGCCCCAAACAGTAATATCTTCATTTTCTGAGGCTCGAAAACAGATATTACAAACTCTGTGGCAACTTTCTGGATAATAACTCTAATGTTATTTGTAAAATAAATGGATAGCTATAGGATGGAGGGGGCATGCTTGACCTAGGGGACTGCTTTAGCAAACCACAGAATAAGATTCAGCACCCCATAGACTTGTTTTAAGAAATTGTTTAAGTCAAGTGTGGGTTTTTAGAGTTCTTAAAATAGGGGTTATAAATGCAAGACTGGCTGGCTAAATTAGGTCCCCAAATACACTTGTACCCATTTCCACAGCTTCAAAATTGAGTGACTTTAAGTGGGAAAAGATCCTTCCAGTTTAATACATATTCTTATCACATCCTTTTATCTTATGCCAGGCAACTCTAACATCTGCCAGCCTCGGAGGCATTTTAATTTGAATGCTATTAAGAACTACAATATTAATTTTTTCTTGACTAGATTCCCAGTTCATGGAGTGGCATAAGGCTGGACTGTAGGCACATCCTACCTGTCTGGAGCCCCAGGAGCCTCTGTGCCCATGAACATCTGCTTTTTGCTTGTATGTTTGGTGCTAGGGATTGAACCCAGGGCTTTGCATATGCCAAGCAAGTGTTCTACTGCTAAACTACACCTTCAGTCCCTGATCATCTACTTTTTGACTTTAGAATGGCAACTCCTTTCCCAGCACACGATCTTTACAAGAAAGTGGTATGCAGATAAAAAGTAGAACATGAGAAATGATGGAAAATAGTTCTATTTTTAATCACTGAATGACAGTTTGGGGTGTTAACTCATAAAAGATTGCCATCCAGTAACTGTCATGGAATAAAAACCTGAAAGATCATGATATTTCATGTTTGTTACAGAGGTAGTGTATGCAGATGACAATCAATGGCAGAGCTTGAATGGACACAGAGTCCCTTGTCTTCTAGAATGATGTGTTTTCTTCCTTTTCTTGCCAAGTTACCTATATAATATAGGTGAAGGGCAGGAAGACCATGTCACCCGAAGTGCAGTTTATGAAACTCTACATGTTCAGATTACTCAACAGAGAGCATTTTGCTGATGTCTTTCTAAGTAGGTACCTTTTCCGAAGCAGAAAGTCAAAATAATGAGGTCATATTAAAATGAAGTCAGAGGGCAGATTTTAACTTGTCACAATGTGAATATTTTGTAGAAATTAACATCGACTCATCAAAACATGACTTTTTCTATGTATGCTATACAGTACTGCTGGAGAAGGTGGGATAGAATTGAGGATATTCCAGCACTAATGAAAATTTTGGATGTGCAAGTTCCCAACACTCTAAAGTAATAATAACTACCATTTCAACTTTATTTTCCTAATTCCAGAGAAAAAAAGAACCAAAAGGGTAAATACATTCATAAAAGTCTGAACAAGTTATTTGTAGCAACATGAATAACACAAAGATTGGTATAACTGTGAACATGTTCCCTTGGGACTTATGTGCCCATTTTGGCCCAAATATAAAAATAAATATCAAAGATCTCCTTTCTGCAAAATACACAATGATTTATCTCTAAGATTGACTTTAAAATATTTTCCCTTCATATTTTGAAAAGTTTAAAAGTTGAAAAGCTTCACTTACATTTTTTCTTCAGAAAAACTTTTCTTTTTTTTTTTTTGTATGAGAAGTAAAAACTTCACTGACCACCCATGATGTACTACTACCAGAGAATAAGCTTTCTAAATCCTTGATGTCTGGGTTTTTAAATTAAAGGTCCTAATTTTAAAACGTAGAAACATAAACTCTTTGTAAAACCCTGTTTTTAAAAATTTTCCATGAATGCCACATCTCCTTTCCAAACATGAATCCTTTTCAATTTCACTTTTTGGTTCTAAGGAAAAATACTCGAAGGAAATCGAAAAGAAAACGACACACCTACCTCGTGATATTTTTTAGTGACTTTGCTTGGGACGCAGTGACATTCGTTGCAGTTGTGGAGACAACAGGCACAGTTTCCACCACAGCGTTTAACCAGGAGGCAACCTGGCCAGAAAATGGTATCGGTTCTCTTTAGTTCTTCCCTTATGGACACCGAGAAGTTACGAGGTGTGCAGCTGTATAATCTTACCTCCTCTTTTAGAAGGTTCAGATCCACCACTGCATGGCATAGAAGAAAGCAAAGAAAAAAAAAAGAGAGAGAGAGAGAAGTTCATGCTTTGAACTTGAATCTATTTCATTAAGCACATTTCATAAAATAATCTAGTTATTCCATGAACAATAATGCTAATAATATCCCTTCTTATTTTAACTAGGTTGTAAGGCTACTCGGCTCACAAATTAGACTTTCTACTTCATAGTAAACAAAGCTTCATTATGACTTAGTGACCAATAAAGAGTCGCCATTGTGTAATATTAAGAACAGAGCGGACAAAACAGTTGAGAGCTATAAATAGGAAATTTTACAGAGAGAAAAAGGTCTACACCTTTTAACCTCAGTACAAAAGTATACAAGGAGAGCGCTGGAGGGAAGAATACAGTGTAAAATGATGAATGCTTTGATTAAAAAACAAATATAATTTTTAAAGGATGATAGGCTCAGACATTTAATGAAGAACAATTTATTAGAAGCTGGTAAACAGAACTTTCTATAATCTTTTTGGCAATAAGAATCATAAAATATAAAAAAAGGAATGAAGAAAATATATTATTGAAGACAGCCAAATGGACCATGAGTTAAAAAAAAAAGGATATAATTTATAAGAGCAGAAGCTTGGGGGAAGCAGTTTTAAGAATATGAGGGATTTGTGGTCTCTGCAATTTAAACTGAGTAGAATCTTAGATTCCTATTGTTCCCTTGCTTAAGGATGGAAGAAGTATCTCATTTGTAAGCATTGTCTCTAGTCTTTTAGCAAGTTGGTTAACTATGTTGTCCTTTATTTTTTAAAAGAATTACCTACTTGTGAAGCCCAAACAAAATATCCTTTCATTGGACAGCTGCAGTAAAACCTCAAAGAACCATTGTTTTTAACTACAAAATGATTCTGCCTCAGGAAAATCCTATCAAAATAACTTGTCATGTTTACTATGAATTCATAGATAATGCATGAACAGAGTAGTTACTAGGATAAATACTTGTAATATAATTTTAATTTCTTCTAAGCTCTATTTTTGTCCCTAGATCTGTTCAAACCATTTCAACCATATTGAAGAGTTTCAGGATGACATATATTCTTCCAGCCCACCCAATAATGTACTTAAAAGAAAAATAAAACTAAGAAATATTACCTAAAATACAATTGATCTAGTTAATAATTTCACTATTATAGGAAACAAGCCTGAGTCAAAAGAAAACTTATTTGGCTGAAGATGGCTTCAAATAGCAATAATCAATATGTAGATCCAATTTTCAAAATTAAGTGTAATAATTTTTAAATGATGAGGTAATATTAATAAATCCTTATTTTCTTGGCTTTGTTATATATGTGATCAAGTTTTTTGGAATTGTCAAAAAGAGGTGATTTTAGTATTTCTGAGAAGTGTAAAATTATGCATATGTAGTAATAAATTACAAACATGAGAACTATATAATTGACTAAAACCCAGATCAAGTATAGGAAGGCCCCCCAAACATGGCTAATTCAATGGTCCATTTCGACAATTTATTCAGCTAAATAATTAGTTTTCCTATTCAATACAAAAATCACTGCTTTATTTGAGTATTTAAAAGTTTGTTTTTCACCTAAAAATAATTTTATGAATGAATGAAAAGCTTTTAAATATTAAAAACAAATGAGTTCATTCTTTTCAGTACCCTGAAAAGACCAATTTATGTGTTATACAATTAAGGATATCATTAGGTGAAATGATATCACATATTTTGCTAAATTTCATTTTGCTGAACCAATAGCATACGCATACCTTTGCTCTGGTGTTGTTAATGCCATCATCTTATTTGGACATTTTCTCTGGAAGGTAATATAGAGAAACCATGCAGAAACACAAAAGCTGTTTGCCCCAATTTTCAAAGCTTCAAGATTTATACTTCTTTAGAATGAATGAAGCTCTTAGCTTTCAAGGATAGTCACCTACTCCAAATAGTTTTAAACACACTATTTCATGAACTAGAAAACGAGACTGTATATGTTCTCTTTAAAATGTTTACTTAACCACAATAAAAGGTTAGATAGATTTCCCAAGTGAACTAAGTTATGATACCTGCTACAATGTGAAAATTTAAACACACTTTCAACTTAGCTTCCACTCATTTATCATGTTTGACACAAAAGTCAAAAGCCTCTTTTTAAGTACTAGTTAAGCTTGACTTAGAAACTTTTTTTTTTCCCTGCAGTGGCAATGGATTAATGAAACTTTGAATCAGAGGAAGAAAGGGAAAGAAAAGAAGCATAAAAACAATGCAGACCACAGTGGTCCAAAATACAATTAAGAAATTTAAATTTGTATACAATCTTTGAAATTTATGCTTCCTATACCTAAGACTTCGAACTCAGAGAAACTTCATTAAAATTAGTCATGAGACCATAATCTTATATCATAAATTCTCCAGACATTCTGCAGAATTTCTAGGCAAAAAGAAAGAAAGGAAGGAAGGAAGGAAGGAAGAAAGGAAGGAAGGAAGGAAGGAAGGAAGGAAGGAAGGAAGATTGTGCCTCAAGGTATACTTTGCAGTAGTTTAACTATAATACTAAGGAAGTTTTCTTCTGCAAAATATTTTTAAGTGAAACTCAGCCTTTAGATTATTTTGCCTTTTCATAATTGCCACCTAAGCATTGGTTTGCCTTCTAAACAATAAACATTTTGAGCACACCATTGGTCAAAATCACTATTCCTAATAAAAATTTCATCAGTATTGTAAATTTTACTAAAAAGTATAATACTGAAAAAAAAATGGTCACATATTTCTTTGGTAGTTGTTCACTCTTTTTTAAGATATTCAATCCAAAGGTATTGTATTACCAGAATGTAACCTGAGGGTGGTCTTTCTAAGATGAATGTGGTAACACTGTGATATGTTTATTCTGGAGAAAATCTATTTCTATGCCTAATTAGAAGCTTTTAAAAGTTTTACTCCTGGTTCCTTTGTAGAAAGACTCTCAGGAGGGGAGTTGATTATGTCTACATAGATGTTATCCCACACCTGCATTTTGGTTTATGTAAAGTCCCCAAAATATACACCACTTTTCTCACACTTACTGTATGATTAAAAAGTTAATAGTTTTGGCAAACTGCAGAGAACTTCAATTTTGAAAGTGTTAAATGAATATCTGAAAGATCTGATTCAGGGTTGGATGCTTTTAAATATATGCTAGCCTCTGGCCAAATCTTTAGGCAGTAGGCAGAGATTTCGGCAGAAAGCCATGGCTAGGAGGGAGGATTTTAGGCTTGAATCCAGAAATCAGCTGTGAAAAAAAACTAGATCTGAGCTTAGAACCTATTTTCCTCCCTTGCTTTTTTCAGATCCACATGATAATCTACTTCACTTTTGCTAACAAGGGCTCTATTCATGGGTGTTTCAGCCTCTCTTGCTTGATCTTCATCTTCCTGTGTGTAAGTGGGAGGGAAGGGAAGTGCTGTTGTTAAGCTACTCATCAGGTTATTTATCAGGATCAAATCTTATAAATATGTAACAGTGTTCACATCTGGACAGGATCTCACTGCCCATGCACTTGAACATGGATTTCAAATATTGCCAAAAGGAAACCACCTCTGTTGGCATAGCAAAATACCAGGGTTGGGCAAGTTGGAACATGACCTGCTGAGATTTAGTGCTTCAGCCAAAAGGGCTGCAAATCAGCACAGGGAAGGGCAAGAATCAGGTTTCTTTCGGACAAGATTTAGAACAAGTCTGGTGCAATCTGCCTCTGTGAATGGATCAAATTAACTAAACACTGAAACATAAATTCTCCAGACTGTCATTCCATTCTCTAAAATGATGCTGGGCAGATTTCAATGTTTCTGACGGAATGAAACAGATTGTTTGGAGTGTATCCTAATTATCCAGTTATTCCTGTTCCATTTTCATTTGTGTCTGATATGGATACTTCCTAATCCTAAGTTATTAGAAAAATTAGCTAACCTTGTAGAAAACTCAGTTAACATATTTCCCATTTCTTAATCATGTGAAATTAGATTTAATTAACAACACTTTCACTCTTAAAAGGAGATAGGCCCTTTTGGCCAAAACTCCTCATTTCAAAAAGCAACTATATCCAGAGAGAAATTACCTTGGGGTGTTTTCTTCAGGTCATTTGTTTTATTGATGAGAATCTTACCTTAGAAACTTCTAATTACTTTTTATGTTGGGCCATTGTTATTTTTCATATTATATAGATGTTTCGAGACTTAAGAAATATAAATAGATAAAACCCTGACCCATAGTTGACATGATAATAACGATTTTTATAAAAGTGCCCCTCTTTTCCAGCACCAAACCCAATTTTGAAGCTCTGATCTTTTCTTTTAAATTTCAAAATCAATATACTCCAAAAGTAGACTGGAGTAAGCAATGATTCTTATCAAGTGCAATGGACCACTTCACCAAAATGATATTTTTAGAAGATAAGAACTGATAGGAATTTTTACAGATATCTTTCCTAATTTTCCGAATCCACTGAATTGTAATTGACTCTTTTTGTCTATATTCTCATTTAACAAATACATACATTCCAATGATAAGGAAATGGATTGCCTAAATACAACACTGAAGAGTCTTAAACTCTCCCCTTTAGAAGCTGTGGCAAAGGGATCTGAAACATTTCTCTGCTAAGAAAATTAAATGAGTTCTAATCCAAAGAGCAAGCTTACCTCTAGATTTTCTTCCAAAAACAAAAGCTTTGCCAAGAAGTTGCCATGTTGGCCTGTATAGATCTTCTAAGTCCAGCTGCCATCTATCTGGTTCAAGATAGCGAATAAGATCCTCCAAGGTACTAAAGGCGGTTACAGCATTATTAAGCAGGTCCAGTGGCAAAGCTGAAGGGGGTAACACTGAAGGACTCACAGCTTCTGTGAGTTGCTGAAAATAAAAGGGATCTTCTGTTAACTGTTTTAAAATGTATAATGTATTCCCTCTCTTCTTACAGAGACGGAAACTAAGGCTGAAAATACATGGGAAGTGAAACTACATTCAACCCCCAAGGTAGAAGAAACTATTTTGCTTCTAACTCAAGTACTTCACATAGATGAACTCTAACAAGTTCTCTGTGAAGTCAGTGAGAAAGATATAACTTTCCATTATCACAGACCATGGTAGGTGTGGGCATCTTTCGCTCACACAAAAACATTGAAAATATCACCATGGTTCAGTTATGGACTTAAAACAGAAACTTTTCGACAGTTTACCAAATTTTTATTTTGTTTTCCTATTTTTTCCTCAGCTCAGAAAAATCACCCCACAGTTATGCAAATTAGTGTCAGATGAATTAAAATTTTAATGTAAAGTAACTCATAAGAACTAGAACAAAATACAGGTGACAATCCTTTGACATTGAAGAAGAACTCGATATTAATCAAGATGCCAAACCATAGATGATTAACTTGATACATTTATCAATAATGTATTTTAATATAAAAAAACTTAAACCAGGATTACAAGATAAGAGAGACTCTGGTAGAATGCCTTGTCAAATTAAATGACTGTCACAAAAGTTATATACATAATATATGGAAAGTAAAGTGACAAACAAAACAACTCCACAGAGAAAAAAAAAAAAAAAGACAAATTCCAGACAAGAAGCTTGAATAGTTAATAAACAAGAAAATATGCTAAAATGCATTAGATCATGTAAAACATGAGATAATATTTCACATTCCAAAAAAAGATTCTATTTCACATACATAAGACTAGAAAAATTTTTTAAAAAATGGATTACTAAGAATGTGAGTAAACTGGAATTTCTGTGCTCTGCCTACAAGGATGAATGAAAGGGGTCACAAACACTTTAACTGATATAACTTATGTGCATTGGATACTGGGACTTATATGTCTTAGGTCCCTGAATTTAACTTTGAGGTCCACATCCTTTCATTTATGCACATGGGATTACGTACAATGATATTCATCACAGTAATGTTTCAAACAGAGAAACACTGGAAACAACCTATATGTCGACATATAGAGGAATGAATAAAAATACATCATAAAACTACGTAAACAAGCAAAAAAGTAAGAAGGTAATTTTAATAAAGTGGAGGGAGTGTCAATGCTTCTATTTATCTATCTATCTATTTATTTATTTTGTAGTTGTAAATGGACAGAATGCCTCTATTTTATTGGTTTATTTTTTATTTTTTAATGTGGTACTAAGGATCAAACCCAGTGCCTTACATATGCTAGGCAAGCACTCTGCCACTGAGCTTTAGCCCTAGCCCATCAATACTCTTAATATGGAGTTTTCAAAACACAAAAGGAGTCACCCTCTTCCCAAAATTTAGTGTGGACTAAGGGTTGGGATTGGTAGATCAGTGTTAATCTACATGAGCAAATGCATTCATTTCAGTAACAACAAAACCACTTTTTCAAATAAATATATGAAAAGAGTATAGAATTAAACACATAGGTTAATTGATGCTCATTTATAGCAGTGCTTAGAATAACTAAAAAGTGGGAGAAAATGTACACATATAATAGTGGAAGAGTCAATCAAAGTGCATGGTCATTAAAATATGGTCAACCAGGAATTCTTATAAACAAAATAAATGACATAAGTATACCTTTAATATGCCATGATTCTGGGTTATATACGTTGAGACAAAATAAAACAAAACAAAACAAAAAATTCAAAAGTGCCTTAAATAGTCAAGATAGCTAATCTATGGATCAGACAAGAATGGATGATCCACTGAACTTCTATGCCCTTCTGTGGGTTAGCTTCCACATGTCAGAGGAAACATTTGACTGGGGTCCAAATTAGAATAAGGTATATTCCATGCTTGTATACTTATATCAACGTGAATTCTACCATGTATAACTAAAAAGAAACAAAACAAAAAAGATAGGGAAGATCAGTGGAGTAGAAGATGAATAAGAGTAAGAGAGGAAGGAAGGGAAAGGGGAAGGAATATGGAATGAATTGAACAAAATCATGTCATAATCATATATAAAGATAACAAAGGGAATTTTCACCTTTATGTAGAATAGGAAGGAAAAAAGCAAGTTAATAGGGGAAGGAAGTAGGGGAGGAAAAGGTGATAAGGAATAGCGATTGAAATCAAATTCCTTGCATGTATGATTGGGATTGAACTCAGGGATTGAGCTCAGGAGCTCTCAACTACTGAGCCTCATCCCCAGCCCAATTTTTTATTTTACTTAGAGACAGGGTCTCATTGAGTTGCTTTAGTGCCTCACTGTTGCTGAGGTTGGTTTTGAATTTACAATCCTCCTGCCCCAGCCTCACGAGCATGTATGATTTTTGTCAAAATGAACCCAAATGCTATGTATAATTGTAATGCTCTAATAAAAAAAAATGAGAAGAGGTGATCTTCATTTTCTTCCTTATACATATACATATTCTCAATGTTTTCTACAGTAACTATGTATTCCTTTTGGAAATATTACAAAATTAATAACATTTATTGTAACAAAACTCTGTCACATCAGCTCACCATTTTTATTTTCATTATTGGGATCCTGAGCTATATACTAAGTCATGTACTCTACATAGCCGCTTCTTCCTTTGTCTCTTTGTCTTTAATCTTTACTTATTCCTTTTACTCTGTGCTATAAAATCTTGGGTTAATCTTCCTAAAATAAGATATCACTGACCATGTGATGAACTTTGGACAAATGCCTATGTGATTTCACATTTAAAGGATAAAATCCAAATTCCTTCATCAGCATCCAGGGCCCCGCAATCTGACCTCTGCTTCTTTCCCATCTAATCCCCTTCTCATCAAAGACATGAACATTTTGTTCCAATAAATGTAGTCTCTTCATTAATTGCTACATATGTCATATCCATCTCAGACTTTGTGCCTTTACCCATGGCTAAATGTTGCCCCTCCTCCCATAAATACAAATCTTTCCCTTCTGTAAACCTACACAATAAATTTTTACCATTTATAATGGCCTTTTAAAAAATCCAATTCTCCCATGAAACCATCCACAGCAGAGGGCTATTACTGTCCCATATAGTGCAGCTGAAAGAGTCGGTCTCTATGGAATGCTTTGTGGTCACCCGGCTTGAGGGGCAGATACTGCAAGCTAAGAAAGAAGTGTCTTTCTCTGGAAAGGCACAATCCTTGTTGGGACTCACAGCTTTGTGTGTGAAGAGTTCTCCTGGACAGCGGGGACTGTTTTTACAGAGCATGATCAGAAGAAAAGTATGTGGCAGCCACTAGCCAACAATGATTTCCTGCTTATTTAAAAGGCTAATTTTATCTATCTATCTATCTATCTATCTATCTATCTATCTATCTATCTATCTATCTATCGGTATAAGAATTGAACCCAAGGTTGCTTTATCACTGAGCCACATCCCCAGCCCTTTTCATTTTTTTTTTTTTTTAAATTTTGAGACAGGGTCTCACTAACTTGCTTAGGGCCTTGCTTAGTTTCTGAGGCTAGCTTCAAACTTGTGATCCTCCTGCCTTAGCTTCTTAGTAATCCATGAGATTAGAAGCATGCACCACCACATGCAGCTAAAGGCCTAATTTTAATAATGTCAAGATTCTGGTTAAAATATCACAACTAAGATGTTTTCCTAATATTTGACAATGTTCTTGCTCTACCACTTACATTCTTAACTTTTGGAAAGTAGAAACCATATCTAGTTTGTTATTATCTACATAGTGATTTTTATATTGTCCATAAAACACAAAATTGCTTTGATAGAGATAATATGATGATTGATAATGTCATCACAGACATAAATACAAATGATCTAATTAAGTTTTTCATTTTTGACTTAACTAATCTGTCTTATGATTAGATTTATGTTTCATAGTTACTACAATTTTTTTTTGCAACTTTCAAAAATAAAAGCCCATCATTTGACCCAGCTATCCCACTCCTTGGTTGATGTCCAAAAGACTTAAAATCAGCATACTATAGTGATGCAGCCACATCAATGTTTATAGCAGTTCAATCACAATAGCCAAACTATGGAACCAAGCTAGGTGCCCTTCAATGGATGAATGAATAAAGAAAATGTGCTATATACACACAATGGAATATTACTCCACTTAAGGAAGAATGAAATTATGGCATTTGCAGGTAAATTGATGGAGCTGGATAATATCACACTAAGTGAAATAAGCCAGTCCCAAAGAACCAAAGGCTGGATGTTTTCTCTGATATGCAGATGCTAACTCACAATAAGTGGGTGGGGGACAGGGAAAAATAGAGGTAGTATGGACTAGGCAGAGGGAAGTGAAACAAGGGGAGGGAGTATGGAGATAGGAATGAGAGTAGAATGAATCGGACATCTTTACCCTATGTACACATATAATTACACAACTGGTGTGATTCTACATCATGTACAACCAGAAGAATAGAAGTTGCACTATATTTATGTATCAAAATGTGTCAAAATACATTCTATTGTCAGGTGCAAGTAATTAGAACAAATAAAAAAAATCCTATATACCTTCAAAAAATAGAAGCTAAAATGTATATACTTTTATAAAATGAATATTAAAAGAGTTCAGTAATATTCAAATAATAACTGAGCGTTATTCATGATTACGATGATATAAAATAAATCTAAAGTTCTATAATCTGCACATGAAAAACAAATGGCTGCTATAAAAGTCATGAAAAAGGTATACATTATTTATGAATGTGGCAAGTAGCAGATGCTTATTTTAAGCATGATATAAAATTGTCACTTAGGCTACTTTGAATTAGACTGTGACCCAACAATGAGTTGGTGTACTTTGCTTCCAAGTCTGTTGGAGACTCACTGAATATAGCCTTCCCTTTAAAGCAATAAAAGGCTACAGCTGAATAGATATTGCTGAGATAAAGTTCAACATATTAACATAAAGGAATGCAACATAAAGTAAACCTATAATATT